TAGTTTGGATTCCAAGAAAATAATTGTTTCACGCGATGTGAAATTTTATGAAAACGTTTTTCCATTTAAAATGAAGTGTGATAAGTTGAGTGAATCTGAGAATAAAGACCTTGATCAATTAAATTTTTTTGACTCTGGAAATGAGTTGTCTGATAAAGTTGGTGTTGCTTTACCCAATGATGAGAATGGAGACGATTATAATACTGAATCTGCTCATAATATTTCTGCGGACCCGAATAATAGAGATATGCTAGGTAGCCAAACTAGTTCTGTTAATAGGAGGCCTCTAGGCAGCTCTGAAAGTCAACATAGACTTGATCCTAGTAATGAAGATAATCTAGCACAAGCTACCAGTTGGCAACCATTGAATGGTTCTGACTCGGCTGCCAGCACTTACCAAGAGGCTGCTAGTCAGCCTGAAGAAATAGACAGAAGTAGTAATGATCCTTCTCGTGATTTCGTCTTCTCTGAGGGAACTTATAATCCGTCATCTAGTATGTTGCAAACTGCTAGAAAATCTTCTAGACCATATGTGTTACCTAAAAAATTTGATGATTTTGTGGTTGAAGGGAAGGCATATGGAATAGAAAAGGTGGTTAACTATTCGTGTCTTTCCGTTGATAATTTTTGTTTTGTTTCGAATCTGAACAAATCAAGTAAACCTAAAACTTTTGATGAAGCTTATAAAGATTTGAATTGGGTTAATGCTATGAATGACGAGATGGAGGCTTTACATAGGAATGGGACTTGGGTCATAACTGATTTGCCTCCTGGTAGAAAAGCAATAGGCTGCAAATGGATATACAAGATAAAATACAAATCTACTGGTGAAATCGAGAGGTTTAAGGCCAGACTTGTAGCCAAAGGCTACAGTCAAAGAGAAGGTCTAGACTATGAAGAAACTTTCTCCCCAGTTGTGAAAATGGTTACTGTTCGTTGTATCATAGCTTTAGTTGTTCAGTTTAAATGGAATCTGTTTCAGTTAGATGTGAATAATGCTTTTTTATATGGTGATTTGATTGAAGAAGTTTATATGCCTTTACCTGAGGGATATTATAGTCCTAATGATAAACGAGTATGCAAACTTGTTAAATCCCTATATGGCTTAAAACAGGCTCCGAGACAATGGTATGCAAAACTGTCTTCGTGTTTACTTGATAATGGGTTCGTTCAAAGCATAAATGATTATTCTCTGTTTACGAAGTCTGTTAATAATGTTTTCATAATTTTGCTTGTTTATGTTGATGATATAGTGATAACTGGAAACAATAATCAGGAAATAAACAATGTTAAAGAATTTCTTAAGAGTAAGTTTCTCATTAAGGATTTGGGAAAGTTAAATTTTTTTCTTGGGATTGAGATCTTAGATTGTGCAAATGGGTTGTGTATGTCCCAAAGAAAATATTGTCTTGAATTGCTTCATGAATTTGGTTATCATGGTTGTAAATCTTGCAACATACCTATGGACATGAATTTGATT